ATTTTAGATTTTTTATATTTAAAATGAGATGTTTATCCTGTATTTGATTGTGTTTATCTGCAGTTAGTTACACGAATTCAGATATGGGATGGAATCGGATAGGGATGAAATCGTTTAGGGATGAACGGGTTTAAGAGTTTTTAAGAGTTTTAACCAAAATGCTTTATAATATAGTATAGATAACAGTCTCATTTCCCAAAAGTCCAAAGTTTCATTCCATATCAAATTGGTGGAATGATAATTCATTCTTATTTTCATTCCCAACCTAAATCAAACAACCCCGTTAAAAACCTGATTGGTTAATACGGGTTACAATTTTGGAAGTTGGACCAGTTAAGTTGTTTTTGATACACTAGACAAGAGGAACTGAACATGGATCACTGTTCCACGTTTGACAGAACTTTTATGTGAAAATAACAAAATTGGAGTGGAACAAAGTGGAACAAACATGTTCCACCCCTATCATATGGAACAAAGTGAAACATACTTATATTTTATCAATATAATCTCAAAATAAAATCTAACTCTTCTAAAACATCAAATATACATTTTAATCATTCTTTAAATTTTATTTATTGTATTTTATGTCCTCTAAATTTTAACTTTATTGTCCTTAAAATATTGTTTTTATACAGTTTTTTATGTAATTTGTTAAATAAAAATAATACAAAAAAATGTATAAATAACAACAGGAAACTTCAAAAACATCTTATTTTGGTGTCATTTTAATCGTCTTGAAGAAATCTTTCTAATTATATATTTTATTATAAAAAATATTTATTTTATTAAAACTTAATAAATTACATAAATTTATCGAAATATATTAACAACTCATTACGAATAAGTCAATATTTTACTTATTTTGTTATGTAGCAAACGCTACAGTCATTCTGTCACGTTCTATCTAGATACCAAACGCATCCGTTTATGGTTCAAACATACTCAAAAAGTTAAGTACTTTTTAATAAGTTATAACCAAATAACTTATTCAAAATAAAAACAACATTGACACGAGGACGGACCTGTGTTGGCGGTATAGGTGGCACGTGCCACCGTATTATTCCTCCGTCGAATGGTAAATTGTTTTAGGTTCGTGAAAGGTGCAACCGTATCAATCTGGTGTGTACCACCGTATGTATTTTGAAATTATAATGAGAACAAGTTTTATTTAGTAAGGTTGGTTTGCAAGACTTTTATTCCACCCCAGACCCATGTTCGAATCTTGTTAGTGTCATTTTCCTAGTCAAATGAAAAAATTCCGTATATTTGTTTCTTATAGTCAAACAGTGTCACCGTTTGAACTTTTTTCCCTATAGTTTTTTCTTATAGTCAAATGGTGTCATTGTTTGAAAAAATTTCTGGGTCCGTCTTTATATACACAGATAAAACGTTATAATCAGATATAATTCTAAAACAAACTGAAACTGGTATAACAATTGGTAGAGTTTAAAGAGACCATTTATTTAGAACCCCAAATGGAATAAAAACCTTAATCAAAAGCCGTACTCATATAACTCTTGACCACATTGTCGCATAATATCTGTAACACACCATGGTTAATCGCACCCACGCACCGTGGTGTCTTAAATTGGTTCAACACCGTCCCTTGTTCGATGTAATGATCTAGAATCTTCCGGAACGCTCCCTTCGAAAGAACCCGAAGCTCGAGCGCTCCAATCGCTTTCGTCTTTCTCGAGCTCACGTAACCCGCATCCACAAACGATAAATCTAGCCGGTTGCAGCATTCTTTTAATAGCTCGTCACTTGCTTCCCCACTCACCTCCCAAAAGATCACGTAATGGCCCGGCTCTGATAAAAGGTCAACGTGGCTCGTAAAGTCAACCACCTCGAGTTTTTCGGCCGTTAAGAGTTTGGCAGCGGCTTCCACGGACGATTGTAGATCTTTCTCGGTGTTTTTATCGATGTTTATGGTCAGCATTAGGTTTCTTCTGCAAACGAACTTGAGCTCGGGGGTTGAGTTATGGAATCCGGTCACCTTGACCACGTCCTCAAGCCGGTATCGGTACAAACCCGCAAAGTTGGTGACCACAACCTCATACTCTTCGCCCACCTTGACGTCAGTCAAGCCCACAGATTTGGGCTCGACCGACGTGAAATTAGAGTTAGAATCAGAGTCAGAGTCAAAATCAGTTTGACCCTGACTCAAGGGTAAGAACTCGAAATACCCGATATTAGGAAGAACGGTAAAAGTTGCCATTTCGGGGGGCAATGTTGGGTTAATGTTTACTCCGATCCACCCTTCGGACGACCCGTAATCGGCGCTCTGTAACTGTATTCCTCCGGCATAGTGTCGAAGTTTTTTCAAATATGGTTCCATGGATCCCGTCATGATCCCATAAATGTACTTGGTATTGGGAAAGATCTCCGGGATGAGGCCGTACCATTCGGTTAAACCCGAGCATTTCTTGTGAATTTTGTCAGCCAGTTCCGGGTTCGGTTTCAGAATCTTGGACATGGCGGTTCGGACCGATGGAACCGTGATTCTGGTCGATAGAACCCCGGTTCGTAAATCGTTACAGAGCTCTTCCCAGACTAACTCAAAAGTCCTAAAGGAATGAACAATGCTATGGGCAAAAGTGGAAAAAATGACTTGGATTTCTTCATGAAAAATAAGGCCACAAAGGAGATGGCAGTATAAAGATTGATGAAAATCGGTCCCGAAAACAACCGCGTCCGGGCTGCAAGATGGAGTTTGCATCGCTTTCATCGTTTTCTTGTACTGCTCGCTACTATAGACATTCGTTGTGGCGGTTGCCGCCGTTAAACCGCCTTTCGTTTTGAACTGTTTGCTACCGTAGATAAAGCTTAGAGACTTTCCGTTTTTGATCGGAAATGCCCTGATCAAGAAAAAAGATTCCTAAAACGAGTACGAAATGGTATAGAAATCGATGTAACATGACGAATGGCTCGATTTGATTTGACTGTTCAACAAAGTTATGGTTATCGAGATCGTGTTAGCTGATGTGTGACTTGAACAACTTGATTTGATTGTCCAACAAAGTCAATCACATCAAGAGTATGTCTAATTGATGTGGGAACCGAACGTTCCAACAAAATAGACCACATCGAGACCGGTGTTTAAAGAAAGACAAATTACATCAAAATGTAACGAAGTTTATTTTAATTCCTATTTATAGTAACAAATAATTTTTTTTCTCAAAGTTATATAATTTTCTTTATGATGTAATAAAATGTTACAAATTTTCTATTTTGTACCCATTTTGATCGATAAGATGTTAATCTTGTAACATTTGATGACGTTGATATCAAGTTTATCATCCACTTTGCATCTTTTCGTAAACAGGTATCACGTCATCAAATACAATATTACATGATTAGCAGGTTACTGGTCAAAATAGATACAAAATCAAAATTTTAAAACTTTATTACGAGAGATTGAAGGTAATTCTTCATTAGACCAACCAAAATTTCGTCGTAATTGGATGCATTTTTTGTTAGACATTAAAATACCTGTTTCTAAAAGCAAAAGAAGTCCGATAAATCTGCATGGTTGTTTCAGTCAATTTCTCATTAAAGGGTACAAACTTGGGCTTCCCTTGAGTAGTCCCAGAGCTACAAACATAAACAAAGCGATAAGTAAAAATGACCAAAATATCCTATCCCTAAACAGAAAAGACATGGAAAAAGATCAAAATACTCCGTATAGAACGATAGGTAAAATAACCAAAATACCCCTGAAGCGGATAAGTAAAATGACCAAAATACCACTAAATCGGATTGTAAGGTAAATACCAAAATACCCTTGAACGATAAGTAAATGATCAAAATACCTCTGGAGCGGAAACTTATTACCTTAACGTAATTGTGGTGATTGGGTTGCCGGTGAGGACCGGATAGGGTGCACCATCGGCTATCTTTTGAATATAGGGCTCAAGATCTTTATGGGTAACGAGAGGAACACGAGAGCTATAGGTTTCGGGATCAGTTCTACCATGAAGTCCCCATTTTTTCAAGTATTCCGCTTCACAATTTTCTTTCAAGATTGTCTTTAAAGTTTCGGTTTGAACCCTTTTCGCATCTTTCGTCAAACCTTCAAATTCTTGAATCACTTCATCACAATCAAATCTTTTCTCCATTTTTCTCGATAAACCTTGAATTAAACAGCTTTGAGTTAAAACACACCGTCTCTTTGTCAATTGAATTAAACGTTTGAACGTAATCCTGAAATAAATTTATCAACTCGAGAGAAGAGTGAAGAAGATGATGATGATGAATGAGATGAAACGATAATCATGCAATGAAAATGAAATCAAACCCAGGAAAGAATTAAAAAAGATAAGTGCTTTTTTCATGTTACATTAAAGAAATAGAAGGAAAAAGATGAGGAATATGTTGTGTCGTAGACTTTTGGGTCAACTTGGTCAGGTCAGAGTTTTACAAAGCAATTTTTTATTCACAAGTGAATAGGAAGTGTGAATTGGCCTTTTCTTTTATTAAAATAATGGAATTTGAAAGGTAAAAGAGGATAATAAGGAAGTGAGGATAAAGACAAACAATATTATATGGTTTTTTTAATAAAAAAATTGGTGGTTTTCTAGACTTTTTGATTCAATGGACCTTGTACTAAGTGAATAGACCATATGTATATCTATCAAGCTACCCATCAAAATCCAATAAATGCAAATCACCTCATGTACCCACATCAAATATAAACAAAACACACTCTTTCTTCTATCTTATCCGAATAACGTACGAGAAAAAGAGTTAATTTGAGAAACGTAAGGATACATCATCACTTTTGATTATATTTAACTTCATGTACACCTAAGAATTGTGTTTTTCATAAGAATTAACTCAATACATCTCATTGATATTAATCTTCACTTAAGATTAATTCAAATATAAAAATCTATTCTTATCCTTTCCATCCATCGAAACCCAACTATATATATATATATTACAAAAATAGCAAATGCATCAATTTTTATGATAAGATTTTATAAGCAGAGAACAGATTCATGCACTCTAAATGAAAATGACATCATACCCATATAAACAAAACTCTGTGTTTTTCATGTTAGATACAAAGAACAGAATAAGAAATATGACAATTCTTGTTCTTGTTTTCAGAAAATCAAGAAGATTGTACAGAAAAATGAATAAAATCTCTTTAAAATAATAAATAAAAAACCAATAAACAAATATGCATATAAAACTATATATATACACACACACACAGAGAAAAGTCAAAATCTTTAAAAGGGGATCAGAAAGTTGGAGAATCCACAAAAACACGTCTAATTTAAGTTAGACAGCAGATTGCAAACCATCAGAGATCGAGGATCACGATGATTTATGCAGGATTTGAAGAACACACAGTGAATGCACCAAGGAACACACACAACCACAGAGAACAGAGCTATTTAGAGAGAGAGGAAGAGGGGTACCAATGGTGGAAAATTTGTGGGTTTGTTATGAAACAAACAGAGGATTCATGGTGATTTGGAAGAAAGTGCTTTTTGTAGGGAGAGAATTATGAGGACTTTAGAGAGAAAATGAGACAAAGAATGGTGTTGCCATTTTATGGTGTCTACACGCACAAACATAAGTCAGAGACCATTCGCGACCCTCCATGATAAGCATACAAAAGTAAAAAGTCTTGAGGAGAAATAAAGATTCACATGTGAATGCTTGGTAAAATAGTAAAAATTTATTTGAAAATGTATATGTAAATTTATGCCTGTTTATTTATATTTTTATTAATTATTTACATATGAAGATGTATATGTGAGTCCATGTTTTTCTTTACTAATAACTGACATGAATCTTTGATTCAAACATTCTCAATTTTTTACGTCTCTTATTCTAACTTCCTCTATATATACATATAGGCGAAGGATTGTGTAAGAAGAAGAGTTAAGGTGAAAAATATAAGAAGAAATCTAGATTATTGACCACTTTTAATCTTAAACCCTTCCATGAATGACACTTGATAAGGGGATTGATCTGATGCATCTTGATGCATCCAATGATAGAGATTTCTTACGCTCACCACATTAACTCTCATTCTCACCGGAACCCAACCTTATACATAGAAGCTATATATACATTTTATTTTATTTTATTTTATTAAGATAATGTTTAGAGGGTTTTTCTATCATATAGTAGTGCTTACTAGATAAGAAATAACGTTGTTTACGATACTTTTTGACCGAGATACAACTCAGTAATGTGGAGAGACTTCCGTATCCAATAAAAAATATCTTACCTGATTAATAAATGACCATTGATTATTAATGTTTAATTATTTTTTTGCTTGATTTGGGTAACAGGGAGAAACCTAGACCCTTTCATTTTCTCGACAATGGTTGTTTAAGCCCGTATTTTTAGCAGATCGGATGGGTTAGGTCTAAGGGATTGTCCCATCTATAAACAACTCTAATCTAATTACACTTGCGTAAAATCGTGAAAATGACGTATTTTCGTAGGTTTTTCTAAAACGAGTAAATGAGCTTCCGTTTGATGTGGGAATTTGAAGAGAATAAGAAAAAACAGTCATATGTATAAAGAAAGAAGAACAAAAAGCATTTTCCAATAATAAGCGTTTGAATTGTGGATCTAAAATTCTCCTTTCTATTTTTAGAAACAAATCAAACAGTCCATAAAATCACATTTTTACAATAATAGCGCCTATAAATAGCAATTTACAACCTCTTTTTTATTTATAAATAATTGATTGTTGATTTGTTTCTTGGTAAAATAAATGCAAATATATATATACACTATATTATAAAATATTTCACAAAAATTTTAAAAAATTATTTTTTATACATAAAGTATTGTTTATTAATGCATATTATTCAAAATTCAAGATTACAAGTAAAAAAATTGTGTGTAAGTACACAAATTATTAAAACTTCATTTTTGAAATTGTGTAACTAACTATAGATAAACATAATCAAATACGGGATAGACGTCTCATTTTGAATATAAAAAATCTAAAATGTAATTAAAATAGTTATTAGTTATAATAAAATACATAATTATTATTTTTATAAAAATTATATTATTAAACGATAAATAAATTACTTCGTTATTAATCTAAATAAAATATTAAATTAACAAAATTACACAAAAAATCATAACTTTAAGTAGTAAATATGATATTAATATCAATATTTATTTTTTCAAATTTTTATGATATATTTAAATTTATATTTTATTCAAAAATAAAAACATTATTGTGTTCTCAAAACCATTAAAAACCGTATTATATTGATATAGACAAATAATAAAAGAAACATTAAACATTGAGATATATCTCGCTATATTATGCGAGCACCCTTCTAATATATATATATATATATATATATATATATTCTAACAATTGAACCATATTTGAATAAAAAGGAAGACATTTTTTATAATAAATCAATTACTATGTTGAAAACGTTTTGTTTTATAATAATCAATTAATAAAAATGTAGTTTAATATTTTATATAATTTGTTTTCATAAATTATTTATAAATATTAAATTGAATTCCGTTTCAAATCTTATATATCAAACGCATCAAAAATTCCAAGTCTAAATCCCTTTAATTCCTCCATTAAACTAAATGCCCCAAAAAAATATTCATTTCCAACCATTTCTCAAATTTAAATACTATAACATGAATTACATATTTACTATAATTTATAAAATATTATTATTCTCTACTAAATATTTAGTTTCAATGATTTTCATTAGTAGAAAGAATAAAAAATTGTTCTCTTTCTTAAGCAATCCTTTTTTTGGAGAATTTTACATTTTTTTTTTCTACTTTCTCCATTTTGAAAAAGCGTTTTAGAGAATTTGTCAGAAAAAATTCTTCAAAATCGTTATTTTGAAAAATATGTTAAAGATGCTAATATGGCATTTGCCGAGAACGTTTGGTATATTTTTTTGTAGGCTTTTTTAAAATGAGCAAATGACATTCCGTTTGGTATGAAAACTAAATATAATAAGAAAAACCCATCATTATACCGAAAGAAAGACGGAAAAAATATATTTTCCAATAATAAGCAATTGTCGATGACAAATATTAAGTACCAACGTAATTCTATACTTATAAATCTATATTGCTTTCAATATTATGTTCTTGTAAAATATAAATTTATGGTGTTTTACAAGAACAAATAAATTTGCAATAAAAAGTCGATTATGATCGCTTAAAAACGAGTAATTGCCATTTTTCTTTTGTACCCAAAACGTCATATTTTTGTAAGAATCATACGTCGTAAAATATTTCCTTTGTTCGAAGAAAGAAATATGATATTTCAAATTGCACCGAGGTTTCAAAAACATTTGATTATCAAGTAAATATTCACCAGGTCCACGTCAGAGACAGCAGGACAGTCATTGCATCATTCGTGCAGGTCGCATAAGTAAGGATATACAGAAAGGGGAAACGAACTTGGATTGAGAATCGACCCATAAAAAGAAATTATAATACTGAGGTTATTCAGTTTTGTAACTGATAAGACGTTATTAGATAAAATACAATAATCCATACCTTTTCTCCTTTCTTTACTTTGTGCTTTTTGTTGCAAGAGATGGTTGATGCAAAGTTGTTTGTGGGCATAAGGATATTTATAGGCTTTTTTAAAATATAAATTTTATTTAATACGTACAAGTTGACACGATCCGTTCGGTGCATTTGTTTTACAATAGAATTGGATAGGATTAGTATCTTTGGTGTTTGACGGGATTAAAACACGGAGTAAATAAGTTATCTATATAACGTCTGGTAATTACTAATAAGAAAATAACATGATAAAAATGTTAAAATGATCTGATTTTCCCCGAAATGATGTTTAATTCTTTTTTGCATTATGTAATAATAATTATAAATGACAAAAACATGGAAAAAGGTTGGATGTTGTAACAACTCATACCACATGGATAGAAATTGTGAGCTCTTTATAAGTCTTAAGTTATGAGTTATAAATAACTTTCATCATGGTTTTAAGTTAAATATAAAATTAATAATGATTAAATAGGAACATACTTTCATAAATTTCTTTATTAGAACATTTGATTTTCATTTTTTTTTATTACAGCAATGTAATTTCAAATTATTTTTTATTAGGACATCGTACTTTGAAAAATTTATCTATTACAGCAATGGATAACATGTTACTTTTTACCGTTTAACCTCTTTACTTTTTTTGCTTGCTTGGCTTCGATGAAATGATGTGGATAACACATCATTTTGATGACATGGCTAAAAAAATATTTCAAATTATTTTTAATGATTTTCATTTTTCATTGATAGGATTTAAGAAACATTTTTTTGATTTTTGTTATTAAATCGCATGCAAATTAAGTATTCTAGAGTAAAATATTTCTTAAATAAATATGATATATTATTTTCGAGATAACTATTTTGTTTGTAAAAAATGTAACACTTCTTACTTTATTTTAAGGTTGTTTCAGAATTTGGGATGTTAGATGTATAATAAAAATACAAAAATACATGAAAAACTTATTATTTAAGATAAGGATTGATTTAAAACATTTTCTTATTGTATAATTTCACCTATATTTCTACTTTTAATTAAAATTTCTTTTTCTTTTTCTTTTTAATTATTTTATGTTAATCAAATTAATTAAAGATAATAATTAAATTTTTTTGTCTTATTATATATATAAATATATTGAACGGTTCTATTTATTTGACCATTTTTGATGGTCAAAATATTTGGCTAAATAGTTTTTAAAATATTGATTTAACTTGAAATGTCAAAATAAAACGACCAATGAAGCAATAAATATAAACGATATAAAGTGTAAACCATAAAATGCGATTAAATAAATAAGTCAAAGATTATGGACTTTCTATTTTTAGAAGTCAACTCTTTTTGATAAAAAAATGATAGCTAAAATTGACACCTCATTTATTTTATAACCTGACTTTCTATATAATTAATCGAATTAGCCAAGATTTCGTAAGCATTTTAGCATCTTGTTAAATCTACTTTTTATAAATAACAATTTTGTAAGTTGTTAAAGTGTTACATGTGAAACGTTGACATGGAAATGTCAATTACATAACTTATTAAAGTGTTACTTATCCAATTTGTTAAAGTGTTACTTGTCACCTGGCAAATAACATTTTAAAAGCTTGTTAAAACATTATTTCATGAATATTAAGTTCATAAAAAGTAGGTGTGGAAGTATTACTTACCCAATTCGCTAAAGTGCTATTTATCCATAAAATTAAAGTATCACTTGTGAGATATATATATATATATATATATATATATATAAACCATTATGTCAAATACAAACAAAAATTGACATATATATATATATATATAAACTTGGACTGCGTAATTGTGATGACCTGGATTTCAGACATCGGTTGAGGTAATTTTTATGTGGTTATTTTGTGAAATATGTGATAACATGCATGTTTACTTAAGAAAGTGCATGGATCATATATACATGAGAAGGTGATTATGTGCATACATGAGAAGATCTTAATTATATGTGTGCGTGCATAGGATAATATGCATGTAGGCGAGGAAATGATTAAAATAAGAAAATAGGCAACCTTCGTGGTTAAGAAAGAGAAATTTTTATAATAAGTTTCCACCGCTTGTAGGTTTTTATATTAATAAATCCTCACCGCCTTTGTTAAAAAATATATATATAAAGAGGATAAAGATAAAACTTTATCTTATCTTACTTTTGGGAGATCTTTGAGAGAAAAATAGTGTGTGGCGGTGAAGGTTTTTCTTGAGAAGAAATCTTGCCTAAAAGTGATTTG